GATATTGAGGGGAAATTAACGTTCCTCGTCTTTTTGAATTATTTCAAAACATTGCTTCAAAGTCGGGAAAAAATCACAAACATTTTCAAGGAGATGACGCTGACGTTAAAGAAAGATAAAATTAAAACGAAATGCTGCTTGTCTCGGTTTCTTCTGTCTTTTCTACTTCTGCTCTCCATTCTCCTTCTCCTCGTCATTTTTCTACCACTCACTCTTCCTCTACTTCTTCCGAAATTTATGGCGTCGCCTTCTCTGACGTATATCCATGGCCAAAGCGCAACACCTTTTACCTCCGTTTGCGACATTGCAGACTGCTTGTCGTTAGTTTACTTTGCCCTAGAGAAAAATTAACGTAGTTTCTTGAAAACTGCTTGATATTTTCACTCTTTTAGCAGAGTATAGATTCACCATGAATTTCAAGCTATAAAGTCGGATTTTTTCTCCGTGAACAAGTATAAAGTAAGGGCGGAAATTTTGAAACGCTGCAATGGAGATATACGTGGTTTTGCACTTTATGCCGCAATCACACGCTGAATTTAGCAGCTGAATGTAGAAGTCAACAGTCATCGCCCAACGGCTGAAATTGAGTAAATTCGAGTTATTTTCATCCAGATGTGTATCAAATCTACTCGAATAGTTCAGACACATTCAGCGTGTGGTTGCGGCATGAGCCATCGATTTATATGTTAAGATTCCGATAATTTGAGTCGGTCAGACTAGAGTTATTAAGGACCGAGGCTGGCACTTGCTGGTCAGGACCAGTGGCGATGCTTGAAAATTGGCAGCACTGTTCCCCCTCCATTTAAATCCATTAAAAGTATCGATTTTAGTTGAGAGAAAGAATCGATTGCTTACAAACATTTAATGCAGGGAAAACAGTGTTGCCAACTTTCTAAAATCGCCACTGGTCGGACAGTGGACTACATCTAATAAAAAAAATAGGTACCTGCAAATCCCATTCGCCGTTCTTATTACCAATCATGAACATGAAACTCGGTATTGGTGATTCTTCGTATAGCTCCAATCCCTCTAGTTTTTTATCCATGTCATGTTTGAAAAAGGCAACGGAGTTTTGGAAAGCACCAGCTAGTTTCTGTCGGCACAAGCATGGAAAAGGGACAAAATGCTTTTTAGAAAAATGCACGTAACTGATGAGCATGAATCGCCCTGTTAAAAGTCGAGGAGTGAAATTCGGTGCCGGATTATGAACGACGCCCAAAAACCCAGAATGATAAGAATACACGAATAGTGATGGGTTAAAATTTTTAAAACAGCAGCCCGTGACAATGGTGATATCAAAAACATGGGAGAAACCCCGGACACAAGGCTAAGAATTACATATACAAATCCGAGATGTTTCGGCTCAAAACTGAGCCATTTCAGCCGGAAGAATAAAAATAAAATTTGAAAAATCCAAATTGAAACATGCAGACTACATAACGACGGTGAAACTACCAAACCACGTATCTCGTTTGCGGTGTTTAAAAATCTACACTCACATTTTATTTTTTGAAGTAGACCAAATCAATATCATTCCTTGAAATTTTCACGGAATTTGCTCCGCACAAAGAGGAAAAATCACAGAAATTTTCGGATGTTAAGTAGTTTTTCATCTAAACAATAAAGTATGACAGGAAGTCTGCGACGTCGCAAACAGAAATACGTGGTTTGGTAGATTCACCGTCGATAATGGCCGAGAAAATCAAAACAAAGAGCTGAATAGTTTGGAATTTTTGTATTTTATTTTTATTCTTCCGGATAAAAATGGCTCAGTTTTGGGCTGAAATGTCTCGGATTTGTATGTGTAATTTTTAGCCTTGTTTCCCGTTCTTTCTCCTATGTTTTCGAATAGTGATATTAGCACCATAAAAGCGTATAATACTTCGCAGAAAGATAGGATTCTGCGCCGTAATAGTGAAAGTCGCTCCGTAAACAGAATAAATTCCGGCCATCATTCATATCACTCAGATTTTTTGGTGCCATGTTGACTCCGGCGCAGAATTTCACTTAAAAATGTTAACAGTACAAGTATTCTAGTTTATGAAATGAATCGTTCGTGAGCCTTGTGTAAGATCGGTTTCAGGACTTTTTGTCAACGATTTTTTGTCCGCGCACCCTTTTTGTCCAGTAGTTTACGCCCACACGTAAAGTAAGCAACAGTGACTTGGTCCAAGCGTTATATTTTAGTCGGTATGTAAAATTATATTGACAATACGGAAATGAGAAATTGAGAGAGAAGGAGGTGTTGTTATGGTTGCTCATTTTCCAAATGAAGTGTTATTACTATCTCCTTTTGAATCATCTTTTTAAATTATTGTAATCTTTCGTCGCATTCCTAAGGCGCAATAATACAACTATTTGAACTCTTCGGAATGCGTGAGGTATCACGCCGCATTTGAAGGCGTTTTCAAAACAGCCAAGTTCCGCTATCCGGATTATCGTTTTGCATAGTTCATATTATTTTGTTATATTCCGTACCGCTTGTTTATTTTTAACTAGCGAAATGCCCGTGACTAGAGTCACGAGTCTAGAGGCCGCTANTCTTTTTAAATTATCGTAATCTTTCGTCGCATTCCTAAGGCGCAATAATACAACTATTTGAACTCTTCGGAATGCGTGAGGTATCACGCCGCATTTGAAGGCGTTTTCAAAACAGCCAAGTTCCGCTATCCGGATTATCGTTTTGCATAGTTCATATTATTTTGTTATATTCCGTACCGCTTGTTTATTTTTAACTAGCGAAATGCCCGTGACTAGAGTCACGGGTCTAGAGGCCACTAAAATATCTATAACCCCGAAAAAATGGTGGTAAGGGAGCAAGACATGCCATAAAAAAATGATAAAATCGATAGAAAAATGAGTTGAGGGGAGAGGGTGATGGAGCTATAAAAATGAGCTGGGGGAGGGGGGGTAGAATAAATGCTGACAAAAGAATTAGAACTAACCTAGCAATGATTTATGAAAAAAAAGAAAGAAAAAAATTAAAAAAGAAAAAAAATGAATTGAAATAAAACATCAACTGATAGCAAACAAAGGTTACCAAGGAAACCAAGGAATGGAACTTCCATAAAAACAGATTAGTGGAAAACAGCGTAAGTAGGGCACTTACGTTAATTACCGTTTATAAGTCAACGGTATAAGTGCGATTGAACCAAAAATCTATACTGTTCTTTATAAGACCAAAATGGACAAAATTACAAAATTCGAATAGGCTAACGTAAATCTAACGATAGTTATCGTAAACGAAAGAATTGACGACATAGGTCGGGTAACTATTAAAAGTGGGATTATAGGTGGGATCCTCGTATAAAACCACCCATTTGCTTGATACAATTCTAGCTGGAGCGCACTTCATTTATGCATTTACCACTGCAAAAGTGTCAAAGGAAATCGACAAGCCCAGCGTGCATGGAGGCTATTTCGATTGCAATCTTCCGTTGCATTTCTAAGGCGCAATGATACAACTATTTGAACTCTCCGGAATGCGTGAGGTATCACGCCGCATTTGAAGGCGTTTTCAAAACAGCCAAGTTCCGCTGTCCGCACTATCGTTTTGCACAGTTCATATTATTTTGTTATATTTCGTACCACTTGTTTTTTTTTAATCCTCGTATAAAAATAAAAACCACCCATTTGCTAAATACAATTCTAGCTGGAGCGCACTTCAGCTATGCATTCACCACTGCAAAAGTGTCAAAGGAAATCGACAAGCCCAGCGTGCATGGAGGCTATTTCAGTTGAGGACACCGCACCAAGAACAACCTATAATTGAAACCGCGTTTTGAGAAAAACGCATTTAAAGTTTTGTTTTTGATGTACTGCGCAGACTTTTCTATGCAGGTACCCTGTTTTGGTGTTTTTGGGTGACCTAACTCTGCTATTGAAGTATGCCGGGTAGATTTTGCGATACATTTTGGGTTTACACTCTATTATGTTTAATTTAGAAAAGCGGTTTTTGGGCCATTATTACTCCTAACAGTCATTTTGGTGGCAATATGAAGTATAAATCATTTTAATCGCGCATGATTAACGCAAAATGAAAGAATATCGATAGTGAGTAAAGAAAGGGGTAACTAGCACCTTATAGGCCCTTAAGTTTACAGGCCCGTTCATAGGTCGTTCTTGCACTTGCACCCATCGATCCAGTGGCCTGACTTAACTCGAAAAAAAAATGTTTTTCGACCTCGAGCCGTTACCTTTCTATATTCTATCGCTACCACAGCATAGTCCAGGGTACATAGAATCCGAAAAGCAGATGGGCGTAAAATGACCTATACGCCTAAAGACTGTTTTTGGTGCGGTGTCCTCAATTGTCATTGGTGAATATTTGGTTTTATTTCTATCCGTAAAATATTGAATGTACAATATACCTTATATATGTATGGGTACTTTTTTTTCTTTCTTTTAAATTTGTTTCTTTACAAAATTATTATTTCGTTTTGAAAACATTTATATTTTTAAAAGGTGAAAAATATTTGTAAAACCTTCTCCAAGCGACATTAATCTTAATGAGCTGCAGTTGTGCCGACAGAAACTGAAAAATGAATGAAGAGGAAAAAAAACTAAGAAGCATGCAATCTTCAGTTTTAACCCATTTGTACATCGATCTTTTTGAGTCAAATACGTCAAATTTTGAGCGTTTCATTGCGCGCACAGCTCGCTGCAGCACAATAAAAGCACAAAATGTAATGTGTAATAATGTATTTACATGTGGGTCAATTAACTCTGGGTCTCAACTGGCACGTGGACCAAAACTCCCGTGCCGAAAAAACGCGTGGACGTAAATCTCTGGAAAAAACAGGTGCACTGACAAAAAATCGTTGACGAAATGTCCTACAACCGTAAGATCTTGATGTGTTTCGTTTCCGGCACCAAAACGACTGGGTTCCAACCAACTATTGTCGGGGACTAGAAGTGATTTTTGTCCTCGAGGACAAAATGACACATGGTTTTCTCTTTCTCTGAGTTTCCTCAGACGAATGAAAATAAGAGTTTTTGAACGACTGATTCATTTCCAGAGTATTGGCGCAACTCTAAAAACTCATTGCAGTTTCGGGGCTTCAGAGTTTCCTCTCATTATTTCCGTTCATCCACGTCATAAACCCTTCAAGGTGGATGTGAACACAAGCCTCTAGAAATGTGTATATCGACGGCACGGCGTAAAGTCCGCCATCACATATCTCGTTTGCGGAGTCTGAGAATCTCCGCCTCTATGTTATTTTTTTTACGAAGAACGATTAGATATCATTCCTTGAAGTTTATGCAGAATTTCCTTCGCTCAGAGGAGAAAAATCACGGCAGTTTTCAAGAATTGTCGTTGAGTAGTTTTCCGTTTAAAAAATAAAGTATGGCAGGGAGTTGCAGCCGGAGAGATATCCCTCAAAAGGGATGATTCCGGTGTCATCCGGGCAGATATGCAGCCGTGAGTTTGGTTTAGTTGGTCGGCTCGACTTCGGTCCCCGATCTCCCTAGCCAGCTTCTGATCAAAGCTTTTTTCAAAATTAGAGCCCAAACCAACGTATGATAGTTTAACCGGCTAGATGACCATCTGGCCGAAACCCACCCCATGTTTGGGGTGGTAGAGCGAAACGGATGGAAATCGAAACCCCCAACTTTGGTTTACCACAGCCGGTGGAACAAGACTCTTAAATTGTCATATCTTCGCTAAGATTCGCCACTTTTTCTCCCGGAAGAACTAAAGAAAAAAAAAAAGAAAGAAAAAAAAAAAAAAAAAAAAAAAAAAAAAAAAAAAAAAAAAAAAAGTATGGCAGGGAGCCTGCGACGTCGCAAACCGAGTTACGTGATTACCGACGTACACTTTCGATATGTTATTTGACGGCAAGTGTCAATATGTGCTATTGTTAATAAAAAAAAAAATAAAAGATCTTACCTCGACTTCGCCACTGATACGAATCCATTTATCGCAAAGTTTTGCATAGAGCACTACCATTATCAATTTCCCCACATTCTCTTTGATTTTTTCGGTCATTTCATCCTGAAAATAAAACAACAATTTTGTTAAAACTCCATCCATATTTTTAGATTAAGACGCACATATGAGATGGGACATCACTGAGTTTATAGCAGGAGGGGAGGAGAAGGTGGACATGCTCTAAGTCGAATTGGCTCCTCCAATGGCCATATTTTATCGACATTTTAATTTTTCGAAACGAAACAATCAACTCCTCTATTTAGTTCTATTTAGCTTTAATCAGATGTTGGAAGTAGGACGCAGGTTTTTTTTATAGACCAGAACGCTTAGGAAGGGGGATAAAATTTGAACTAAGCGGGAGATGTTGAGTCTTAGCCTGTTACACAGAAAAAAAAGGATGGTGCTGACGACAGAACCTTTTGTTCATACGGCTCCCACAGTTTCTTTGTTACACTTACAGAACTTTTCTGTTGTGAGAACAGAACTTCTGTCGTGGGAACAGAGTACTCTGTTCCCACGACAGAAAGTTCTGTAAGTGTAACAAAGAAACTGTGGGAGCCGTATGAACAAAAGGTTCTGTCGCCAGCACCATCCATTTTTTTCTGTGTAGTAGGATAAGTAAATCGAAGGTATGCTCCTTTGCTAATGACTACCAAAAAGCGACGAAACGCTCCGTACCGTTTCGTTTCAGTCTTGGCGTGAAGTTTGTAATAAATGCCGATTTTTTTAATCGATTCTCAAGGGCTGGACACACGTTCGAAGTGAAGCTTCAAAGTGTTAACTGTTTAGCCAAGTGTTGCGCATCATCGATGTGGTAATTGGTGGCCACACTTGGTTAAACAGCCACCACTTTGAAGCTTCACTTTGAACGTGTGTCCAGCCCTTTAATGGTCCAATCGCTCCCGGCCAGGGAAATATTGGATAAACGATATGATGAAGTGTCAATTACTCTTAGTGCCGAAAACGCGAATCTCAGGATTTTTGCCGTATTTTCTAACAATTTGAGAAATTATTCAAAATGATTATGGAGTCTGAAAGAGCATCTCATTCTTGCTATCCTCAAGAATTATTACCCTTATATTAACAATAAAGAGGAATGTAGACAGTTTTTTTACTCTCCTGTTAAAGGCCTCCATAAACCTCTACTAATCAAAGGGTAAACCATGTAGCCTTTTCAAGGAAAGGCCCTGTTTAAGGCGCGGTTAATGCGGCCCTGAGTAAATAAGAGTATACAACCTCGAACTTAGGTTCAATTACAAGTATACATCCCTTAAAAAGACATGTGGCTGTTCCTCAGAAACATCGGAGGAAATCTTTATCTTAGTCTCAACATTAATGCGAGAGTTTTGTCCTTAAAATTTGACATATCGTGCCGTTGAGCAATGTGCTTGCCATGCTAAGGAAAAACGCCCTATGAGTATTTGAATATGTCAAATTTCCTTTAAGAAAATATTTATTACTGAAAACATTTTAATGTATGTTTTTTTTTTTTTTGAAATTTTCAGACACTTTAGATCAAATTACGAGCAAAATTCTTTTTTAAAAAAATGGAAGAAAATTAGTTACAAATATTCCCAAAAATTCGTGATTTCTCGCAGGAGATTTGGCAACGCTTGAAGGTTCATACGGTGTTCTTCTTTAGCACAGCAGTGTGGCAGGAAGGCTCTACGGAGGTCCGAGACCAATGAGCTATTAATTGTGGCGATAGAGAGAGCAGCGCTTGCTGCAGCAATAAGAATTGAAGGGGCTTTTACCGTCCACAACGAAGCGGTCGCAATTCGGATGGACAGAGCATAGAGACACCGCGATGCCGCTAGCCGCATTAACCGAACATGCAAGTGGTTTCAATTAAAATCGTACCGCATTTACAATATTCCGTTGCAAGTGTAGTGATATCTCGATTCCTCGATGGATTGTGGCGGAAGCAAGAGCGCACCGGATAATCGAACAAGTATAACACGACGCTAACATCACATGAAAGATATGATATTAAACGAGGAAGAACGAAAAAAAACCAGAAAAATAACGAATTTGACTTGTTTCTTTACGAAAAAATATAATAGGATAAAGATTTTGATGCACCGCACAGGAGATTTATGGTTCCGCATTTTAGCCATCGATATTTGTCTCTTGATAAGGAGGAAAAACACTAAAAATGGCTCGAAACTGTATGTAGCAGGGTGGAGAAATGATGCTAGGTCCACACCATTTCGCGGGGAAATCAAAGCCGAAAAATTCCAAAAATTACAATTAGATCAAAATGTTTTAACTCTAATGAGCACAGTTACAAAACTGAGGGGGTGAGTGTTCAGCTCAGGCAGTTTGCATTGAAATATTAAGTTGAGGTCACGCCAAGAGATCAATAACGTTTTGGGTCTCTTCATAAGTTATTGGCGGATAATTGAGGTGTTATAAGATTGCTTAGAAGGTTTAGAAGCGAATATAGAAACGTCAAAAGACTCACGCGGTTTTCTATTTCAGTGATCTTGCTGGGTGGAAATTTGCTCGAAAGCGAGTATAAGTGATGGAAAGTGTGCTAGAATCAAACAATTAGACAGAATGATCAAGTTTCACGAATATACCATCAAGAAAAGGAGAGATTTCTTTTCTTTTCATTAGGAAAATAGCAGAATTTGCGTCTAAAAATTAAATTCCTAAGATTTTTCTTTCAGTATTTTTTTTAGTAAAATTTACAAAAAGTAAAATGCACTGCCCAGTGAAGTTAATTTCGTACCGTTTCCTTCAGAATACTTCCAAAAATGTCTAAACTTGACTTGTCTAGAGCGGTTCTGAGTTTTGAATTCGAATTCCTCATTCCTTAAAATCTTCTCGAGGTCATCTAGACTCGGTTCTTTTGATTATTATAATTTTACTTAATCTCCTTTCTGTATTCACTAAAAAAATATTTCTTGATTTTTTTTTTTTTTACTTGTGGTGTCGTTTCATGTCGACAATTTTTTTTTTTTTTTAATTCTGTTAAATCCGTGCAGATTTTACTTAAAGTTAGTTTTTTGAACACAAATTCGTGGGGAAAACAAAGCCGAGAAGTTCCAAAAATTCTAATTAGAGTCGAAATTTAATTTTTTTGACTCTAATGCGTACCAGTGCGAAACTGAGGGGGGAGAGTGTTCAGGAACGCGAAATGGTGTGGACCCAGCACCATTTCCGCGCCTTGTTACGTACAGTTTCGGGCCACTTCTTAGCGTTTCATTTCTTCATTAGTTTTTTGAGTTAAAGGAACTTTGCTCTGATGATGTTTTTGGACAGAAACTTTACGATCACAAAACGACGATTTTTCAACCACAAAGTAACTGCCGTTGAGTTGAATCCGCACGGATTTAACTGGAAAAAAAAAAAAAACTTTTGTTGACAGGAAAAAACGCTTCAAGTCAAAATAATATCTCAAGAAATTTTTTTAGAGTTTGTAATTGTTGACCTAATAAAAGCGACATAAATAAAACTGAAATGGGGGGGGGGGCAGTCTTTCGCGGTCGGAGCACTTACCGGAAGCGAATTTAACCGTTTGACAGACGGCCAGCCATTTCGTTCGACATCCTCCATCTCAGCCGCCTCGAGGGATGGCGGGAGCGTCGCGATGACGCTCTGAATGCAGTCGCTAAATTTGATCAAAGCCCGTTTGCTATTTCTCCCATATAGACGTGCCGGGCAGGTGACAGTGTCGGTGGGAGCAGGGAGCACTGTGCACTCGCGGCGATGACTCCTGGGCACGTAGCGACATTTGGGAGCGGAGCCGCAATTGCAGTCGCTCTCGTGCTTCAACTTCAGCAGAGCTTGGTGCCCTCTCTCGCATCTGACCCGAGCAGCGGACCGGCTTTTACTCCGATCCATGCACCAATCGTTCGTTCCGACATCGATTGCTAGTTTCCTCGAATCGTCCATTGTCAGATTTCTGCTCTGTGTGTGCACGACGAGAAAATGAAAAAAGTAAAATTAAGCGGGAATCACACACGAAAAAAAAAGAGTCAAGTCCCGACTTGGACATTTCCAATTGAATTACATTCAGCAAAAAAGAACCGGTGCGATTACGACGTTTTCAAAATCGTGCATCCTCTTCTTTTTTCAAAAAAGCACTTAATATATGTATACAGTATGCAAATTTACACAATTTTTATTCTTTAAAATTAACCATTTTTTGGTAGGGAGGAAAAACTATTTGCTTTTCCGGGAGATTTTCTCGAAAATTATGAAGGAACAATGTTTTTACAACACTGTCATCACGCTGGTTCCTTTTTGCTGAATGCGACCCAATTAATTGTGGTAGTACCAGATAAATTAGGTTACTGACCAAAATGTTGCGGCACTACCCAAACTTGAGTTGCGGTCCAACCAAAATTAATTGAAATGTCCATATCATTCAACAAATAGAAGGTAGCACCATAATTTTACGGGTTATAACCCCTAGCACTTTTCTTCCGAGCAAATCGCCGCCCCTCTGACGTAAGGGTGTATCTCTATTTCCTCGTGAGCCATAAATTAAGTGTCGTGTCGTGAACAATCGATTATTGACATTTCCCCATTTGCTGTCATAGTAAAGAATAGATTATTAAGGTGTTCGTTACGAACACCTTGTCTATCGATTCTTTGCCATAGGTTTAAATGGCAGATAAATCGATATATCGCAAAGCACGCCACGCCACTGCACAAATTGCATGAAGTCACACGGAGAACAGAGCGCATGGAAAGTCAGATACGCCGCCCTTATATCCGAGGCGACGAAATATACAGTAGGTCAGTTTCGTTAGTCATAGCATCGCTTGTTGATGGTTGCAGATGAGAAGAAAACTATTAGATCGGTCCAAACGCCTACACTTACTGATACTTTCTGCGTTAAATGTTAACAGAGTTACCGCCGTTCGAAAAACACGGTATATGAAGTCATCCAATGCATGTTTGATGCAAATGGAAACATGAAAGTGCCTTCAGTTTTTGGATATGCAATACGCACATCCGTGGAACACGAATAGTTGCATCAAGGCGCTACAGTAAACTCGGTCCACCGGCCCAGTATGTTAAAGCCAGAGACAAGAAAAAGCTTTTCCTTCCGCCATGGTCTCTTTCACCTTGGAATAATCAATTAGTGGTACGCTTAGTGATGGAAAACCTCGATTCTCCTTCATTTTGATATCCTTGTAATTTGAGTCACTCGAATGACTCAATAATTGTATCAAAATTTTGAATCCTTTTTTAACAGGAAACGAGGAGTCGGGGGCTCGTCAAAAATACTGAAGACGTACCACGGACAAACGCCGTATGACCAATCGAAAGTTGCCAAATTTTCTTTGATAAAATAATATTTATTTTTAGGAAAGTTTCAAGTACGTAACTTTATTGTAACTTTCCGGTGCCCTAGATCAATTTTTGGAGTATAGCCCCTGAAAATTTTCAAAAAAATATTCACAAATCGCATTGAAAATTAGTATTAAATCGCAGAATGTCTCGGAACGCCAGAGGTCTAATAATGCGGCATTTTTTCATACCAAGGCAGAACAGCTTTAAAAATCAGAGTGAGTGATGTTTATGATAGAATAACTAAGTGTTTTTCAGTGATCGTTATCTTAGCATCTGCGTCCCAAAGTGCCATTATTTGGGCACAAGCAGAGGATCTAAAAAGAGGCAATGAACTTTAAGCTCATGAAATAGTAATTTATAATCCTTCACATCCATCTTGAAACTAAAATCCTGTAAGAAATGTTGCGGCAGTTTCCGCATCCCGAGGATTGTGGCAACTGAAACCGAGATTATGCGGTCCCGGCTGAGGAAATTCGGCTAAACTGCCAAAACCTCGGTAGAATATACCGAACAAGCAGTGGAGCAGTGGCAGTGGGACCGCAAATCTCGTCTCCAGCCACCAAAATTCTCGGGGTGCGAATACTGTAGCAAATTTTTCTTATCGTCATACCACCAAAAAAAAGGTGGTTTTTTGAATTCATGAAGATGATTGTGAGCAAGAAAGTGAACATCAATGTACTATTTTGCACTTACAATAGTCGCCTTCCTTCGAAACCAACCAGGTCTAGACCAAGAGATAGGTCTCCACCATTCGGCACGCATACAGGGAATCAAAATTGATATCATGAGCACTAGCACTGTTTGAATGTTCATCACAAACTGAGGCGCCGACCTGTGACATTCAGCGGAGAGGTTCGACGATATCAAAGCTTGGAATGAAATCTGCCCTGCTCTTAATCCATTAACTAAAGCCAATACAGGTTTGAACATCATCCATGCTCCCCCCATCCCTCTTTTGATCCCCCGTCGCCAGTAGTGCTTGTCCGTCTGGCAGACATTGAATGGACGTATTTCTGCCAAACGGAACTATGTGCATCATGACTTGAACCCTGTTATGCATATGGTCTTATGGGTCTCAGGACTCATGTCTTAATGCACATGATTCGGTTTGGCAGAAATGCGTCCGAATGAGCTTTCTAACATCGTTGACGTCGGTGCCGCCATTCGTCAGAAAAATTTCCATTGCGCAATTTTTTGTCACCAACCGCTCTTCCATATTTCGTCCGAAAAAAATGTTTTCTATTTCTGCCGTGAAAGCTTTACCGGTGCTTATAGCTGCTTTTCCAATTTCAGTGCACGCTCAATTCATGGAAGTAATTTTACCCTTTTATTAAAATATCACGTTTCTCCCCCACTAAAAAAATGCTCCCGGGTAGACAATGCTTTATGACAATGCAACCATGCTCCAATTTTTTCCTCTTTTTTCTAAATATATGAGAATTTTTTTTTAAATTGATGTATATTACTCTCACTTTACACTTTTCACTTACACCTGGTACTCATTCACTGATGAAGGTTAATGCCACGTTTAGAGCCATGTTTTATGAGTAGCTCCACATTTAGCAGCTTTTCGTCATAGCTGTTCACGAACGAAAAGCACTAATAGACCAATTTAGTGGTGACGTCACGGAGCGATATTGGTGGTTCGATATCTCGAAAGTCGAAATGTGCCCCAACAAACAAACATAACCTTCTAAGCGCTTTAATTGATAAGAGAGTAATAAAACTAGCCGAAAACTGAAAAATTTATCCGTGATATCGTAAAATTATGAAAGCTTGTCATTTTCCAATACTTTTGATACCACATTTGCAAGAATAGGAAATATACTAAGCTCGTTTTTTTGTTTATTTTTCTCACAACATACTTAATCCTAAAACATCTCTCCGACCTGTTACCCTTTCGAATAAACTTCTAATTTTTTTTTTTTCAAACTTCTAATGGTGCGACGGTGTTTTGTACCTTGGTGCAAGCATCAGCCTTTATCAGATTCTTGCTCCCTACGACGGTTTCCTCGTGATGAAACCAAAAGAAGAGAACTGTTGAAAGCGACAAGGTAGGATGATCGTCGAACTTAGTTCAGTATAAAAGGTTTCATCAGCTTAACTTGTGCTTGAATCGCAATAAAACTATTTTCTGATTGACTTTGAAGATGCTTTACATTTTCCCCTATCATTTCAGGTGTGATGATTACCCCCTGCCTTCTGAGAACTCAAGAATTTGTAGTTGTCACTTCACTGATAACTTGCTCGACAGCACTGATTCCAATTATAATTCCCAAGCTCCTGACAAAGTTTTACGTTTACGCTCCACAAACATTATATCTCCTCCACGGTAACTCCTATTCCTCATATTTCCCTCCTATTCCTCTTAATTCCCTACCAGCTTTCATGTCAACTTAAATACCAACCTACATCTGTGGCGAAAGTTAATTCGGCAGGAGGTAGCCGTGTAGTTTTCTCCTTACAGTAAACTTCTGGATCAAGAGACCTTTGTGTCCATTCATTGACTTGTCACTGCAGTAATCTGCAAAGGCACTGACCGGGCTGCGTGGTATTTTTCGTCAGAAATCCATCTGGGTATTTAACGTTACTTACTTAAGAAACAAGTAATCGTCAGAATGTAATATTGATGCAAAAAGACACTTAAAGACAATGATGACAGAGAAAAATAAACAATCTACTGCTCTTTTCACTCTTAAATTCATTCACCTGGCTGATAATTATTCATTTTTTTGAACATTTCGAATAATGTAGAACTCGTTCGAGATGAGGTTTCTTTCTAAAGGAGTGTTCATTGATACTAATTCTAATGCAATACTATTGGTACTAATATTCGTAGTTCCGCCTAAACAAAAAGCATCCCTTGTAAAGTATTTATGTTTCTATCATTTCTATTCTTCTTTCTAGGAAAAAAACAAAAGCAGCCAGAGTTCTAAACATATCTGGCTCCATCTCCCTCACATCAAGAAATAAAGAAAATATCAAACCACCCGCTTTGAAGCATTCCTCTGGTCCTTCTTCCCAATCTTTACATCCTCCAAAAACCTCTTCTTGTCAAACCCCTGAAGCCCTGATACCTTCCTATCATTCTAACAGGTGATAAGTTCAAACATGCTTTTGACATTATACTTATGTACACCTAATTTCAGATTCTTTTGAAAATCATGTTGAGATCCTAATCAATAAGTTCCTGCCGAAAAGTTTATTCATTTGATGGGAACAAATCAAGTAATGTGCTACAGAGAGTGCACATTTGCAGAGAAGTATCTAAATGCGTGAAGAGAGAAAATATGCTGAAAGGCTTTTTTAATAAAATTGGCTTGTTTGAAATGCTTTTATTTTCAGTTTTGGGATAAGCCTACATGAACTGAACGTAATGCCAACTTAAACAGCAGTATCGGTGGTTAGCTTCCTGAAAAATTCATTATTACTGTTCTGGGAACAGCTCGAATACTAGTATTGTTTCATATGAGAGAGAAAATATCGTAGGATGGCATGACTTATCTAACTTACAGGGGCATTATAAACATGATCTATTTCATAATCAATTATTTAGACAGGCCGTGCTCACTCATAACGCTTTCCTTGTTTCTCCCAATCTCTCCTGTCTACTGTTCGTTCAATGTTGTAAGGATTACCTCCATCTGACACCACATTTTGACTTCCAGAGAAAACTGCAAAGTTCAAGAAACTTCTGAAAAGAGCCCTCCCCACTATGATTCAGATCCTCCAGAACTTCCTGCAGCCGATATCACTCCTGAAACTACCCAATCCATTTTCCACAGTACTCCAACCTCTTCAGTTCAAAATGACAGCTCTGGCACTGATAATTCTTCTGCGAACTGTTCCGAAGTGCCCTCCATTCCCACAATTTCTCCATCGTCTAATACTGATACCCACAGAAACAACACCTCTTCCAAATTTTGTCACTCCTGCAACTGTCCTTTGCTTTCTTCAGAATCCTCTGATGCCTCTACTCAAACAATTCTTCAAGCTCAGGACCCACTTTTGAAGGCGGAAAATTACTTCCTGGATTTGAAAGTAAAAGAGTTAGAAAAAAAGTTAGAGGAACGTAAAAAGGGATTCAGTTTAGCGGACATAAAAGACGATGAAAAGTTAGTTTCTTTCTACACTGCATTTCCAAATTTTGAAACCCTAGAAATATTTCTAAAGCTTTTTCGTGATGTGAAAGTTAATTACTATGAAAAGTGGAACGTTACGAAAATAAACAGAGATGATCAAATTTTTCTCACTCTTATTAAATTAAGATTGAATTTGAAAGGATCTGATCTAGCACATAGATTCGGTGTTTGTGCCAGTACAGTGACCAATATTGTTATTACATGGATTCATGTAATCCATAAAATAGTATTTGAAGGGTTGATGAATCACACGATTCCTTCCCGTGCCAAAAATAGAGCATGCTTGCCTTCTTGCTTCAATTGTTTCCTAAATTGTCGTATTGTACTGGACTGTACTGAAGTGGCCGTTCAAGTCCCTAAATCTTTGAGCAAACAGAAACAAGTATATAGCCATTACAAACACAAGACTACATTCAAAGGCTTAATAGGAGTTGCACCCAACGGTGTGATTACTTATGCCACTGCTCTATATCCGGGCTCAACATCCGATAAAGAGGTAGTTCAGCACTCTAAAATTTCAGAGAAATTGGATCCAGGCGACTTAGTTCTGGCCGATAAGGGATTCCTAATTTCTGATATAGTACCTGCAGGAGTAAGTGTTAACATACCACCATTTTTAGACACGCCTCAATTTACACCCGGTCAAGTACTAGAAACAAGAAATATTGCACGAGCAAGAATCCATGTTGAACGTGCCATAAATAGGGTTAAAGTGTATGATATTTTAGAGAAGATACCATCACAGCTATTTTTTTACTCGACTAAAATCTGGCAGGTTTGCACAGTTTTAAGTAACTTCAGGTTCCCCTTAATTAAAGAGACTTGCCCTATGTTAGATAATATCAAAGAATCTTTATAAACTTCCAAACCTTTACTTATTTACTTGAAGTTTGTCAGCGTATTATGGCAGCGTTCATCAGAGAAAAACCAACTTTTCAGCTAAATCAACCTTGTCTCAACCGTGTGTCAAACAAAACCTTGTCTCATGCATGTGCTGCTCATGTAAGATGGGTGGATTGGGAATGCAGCAAACTCAATGGTTCCTTTCTGATAAAGGTTGATCATTTCTTCTATCTCGATTTCCTTATTTTCTCCTTTGACTATTTTTCTTGCATTAGTGTGTTCTTGCTCATAATTTCAATAATACCTTTTTTTCCTGCTGTATTAGTATAAGTTAATGCCTAGTGCCTCTGGAATAAACTAAAACCTTGGAAAGTATTTGATTGCAAATTAGACAGTTAAATTTCTCAAATTACTTTCAAATTGTGGAGCTAAAATAAAAACCAAGAGCTTCCTTCAAATGCATAGTTTTATTAATTAACATAAACTATCCTATTATAGTCAAAAATGACTTAGAATACGATTCAAAAATGGATCACAGTCAATTTTTATCAATTAAGATAAACTTTGCTACTATGTATTATCACAGTTCTCTATTGGCACATCTTATAATATAATTCTTAAAAAAAAAATGAAAACTGGTAAATTTTACAAGTACGAAAGATGTACGTAAAAAAACTCGTAAGAAATCAGAGTTGGATAACTTAACATAAAAAATTCGAGATCAAAGACGTAAAAAAAAATAACAAAGGCAAGGCAAACAATCTTAAGTTAAATTTTGGGAAAAACTGCATACTAAACTTAACCAGAAATGTGCAGGTCTTTGAAAAAATTGTTTACCAAAGACACGAAATTCTAGTGAGCCAATCAGTCAAATATTTAGGTTTCCATGTTGACCAAAATGTAAGCTGGAACTCTCATGCCAGTTATGTACAGCGTAAAGTTGCCTTCAAAATATTTGCCATTACGAAACTAACCAGTAGAGTATAGACAGAGCCTCCCTAATGAATTATTACTACGCAAACATTGACTCCATTATTAACTATGGCATTCACCTGTGGGGACATGCCTCGGATACGAGTGATATCCTATAGGCCCGAAAGGAAGTTTTGCGAAAAATAGCAAAAAAAGGTAGACTTGAGCCTTGCAAAAATGGATAACAGCAAAATTGTATCAATTTACATCACAGAGAACAATAGAGTCGCAATGTACTGGATATCTCGGATGTGAGTGATATCCTATTACCCCATATAAAAGTTTTGCGAAAAATAGCAAAAAAAAGGTAGACTTGAGTCTTGCAAAAATGGATAACAGCAAAATTTTAACAATTTACATCACAGAGTATAATAGAGTCGCAATGTACTGGATTGCCGATGAAGCCATGCAGGAGTAACATACATTAATGGATTCATTATGACTTTAACTATCTATTTGTAGCAAAATTTGCACAAATTAATATCGATTGAATTATAAAATGTCGAAAAAACACAAGCAGTCGTTGCTTTTCCTGTAAGCCGCTGTGATAAGAAATGCTGGGCGGTTCACACTTGGTTTAAGTCTCAACTACGTTCCTTTTTAAATATTATTCAAGAGTATGATACATTAATGGATTTGCTATGGCTTTGACTACCTGTTTATAGCAAAATTTGCAAAAATTAATACTCATTGAATTAAAAAAGGTTGATAAAACACAAGCACTTCTTGATTTCTCCATAAGCCACCATGATAATAAGTGCCGTTGGGTTCACACTTGGTTCACAATTTTCAGAGCACAAGCGGCTCGGAAAGGCCCGTTCATGGATTGACTTCATTGGCGCTCCAGTACATTGCAACTCTATTTTACTCTATGATTTACTTAAACTACCCTATTATTGACAATGTTGACTTAAAATACGATTCAAAAATGGACCACAGAAAAATGTTATCAATTTTTGGATATTCTCTCTCCATGTTTCATTTCTCTGAATAGGGGCACAAAAAAAACCTTTCGGGGTCCAAATGAACAATCGAGCCTCTTTCTTATTTAAAATGAAAAGCTGTGTTTGGATCTGATGGTACCAGTCATTTTTTTCATTCACCACATAGGTGCCATTTTCAATACGGACTATATCACTTTTCTTCGCTTCCATCAGGGCAACTTCAATATCTGGACAATTTCTCCATTTGTAAGGACATTTGATCTCTAATACGATTTCATCATCAATCAAGCCATCAGGAGATGCACCCAGCAGGCCACTCTCATGCAAAAAAATACCACACTCTCTAACTTTCACACTAAAATGATCCTCAAATGCCTTCCTGGCTGTTGCCTCATTCTCTCTTCCCCACTTGATAGCTTTTACACCATCTAAGTCATATGCACCTAAGAGAGTATTAAACAATGACTCAGAATACTTCCCACTGTTACATGCTCTTAGCACTGCACCAACATTACTTGCTGTGATCAAAAAACGCTTAACAACTAACCATAGGGAATTTTTACTCTGACCGATAGTCGCTTGCTCGATTCTACTAATCACTTCTGCATTCACTCGAACCTTCTCTAGCAAAAATGACACCTTATCAGCAGCTTCTTTCATTTCTTGCGACAAAAGGGTTGACTCCAAGTTATGGAGTAACAGTGCAGAATCAGGAACTTCAGGTGAAAGGAGCCAGCTGATACCTATAATAATAATAAAAATAATCATTAGTTTATTTTTAACTCTCAGTACCACAATATCAATAATACAATAAGAAATAAAACAACCCACCACCCTTTAAGCTCACCTATGTTTGGTTGTGCAACCAAGGAAAACAGACAAAAACAACAAATTTCCTGACTAATATCACAGTCAATCTTGTAAAATTTGCATAAAACGGAAATTAGCCTAAAGGATGTATGAATACTACTTTTAGTGATAAAATTGAAAGCATGAAAGATTTATAAAAGAAAAGAAAACTAAATATTACATGAAACGGAGGTTGATATAAAAATCCAACAATCCAAAAATAGGCTAAAAATCTGAAGTCCAAACATACACAAGATTGTACATACTTTCAGATACCACATCTTTCGAGCAGCATTTTCATTTTTATTTAAAGCCATGAATAGACAGAATTGATCTCAGTTCTTCAGATTAATATAAAGCTAAACTACAATGAAAAAAGAAATTAGATCTTTTCAGGATTCCATTTACAATTTAGACTGGGGCAGCTTTTACATTTACAACAGCTCTGGTGGAATAGATTGAAGTTGCCCTCTCAGCATGTCTCTGACTTACCTGTATGCAAACCAGATGATTCGAACAAATCCTTGAAAAGTTGTTGCCTTTTCTCATCACTCATCGTGCTGGAGGTCGCATCATAATCATTACTGCTACTGCCAAACATCTCATCTACAGTTTGCACAGTCTGATTTAGCTCTTCTTTCTTCACCGACCACTTACACGCCCTGTCTGTCACAGAAATATTATAGTGGGCATGGATGAGTAGGGCGGCTATGTGATGACATTTAACCTGACCCCTCGGACAATTACATTCTACTCCTTGAATTTGCCCTTTGTCATTCAGGTCAATCTGGAAAAAAGAACATTAGGGAGAGTTAGGTACAAATAGAGAGCAGTAAACTTTCACAAGTTCATAGGTCACCATTAGATTTGAAAGAAGCAAAATGGAATTAAAACACAAGTTGATGATATACACAGTACAGGGAGTCTCTGAAGTCCACAGCAAACCAACTGATATTGGCCTAAAAACTGGCCTGGATGAATAAGTTCGGTGAGCCATACCTATACTTGATAGGTTGATTGACCTGCCAATTGGTAGAGCTTGCGCATTGTATATCAAGACCAACATCAAAGTATTATTTTTGTCACCTCTCATCAGTGGTGCTATAGGACTGCATGTTTTAACCTGTTACAGGTGCTAATTCAGAGATTATCGGAGATTGACACTTGTCTTAACAAACAATGCTCCAGCTCTAGGTAGAGCTGGGGAAAGAAAAGAAGAGACAAAAGTCACATCAGTCTGGATGTATCAATCATCAGTTGGCCCATTGGTTAGCATGTGAATATCTGTTGAAGGATGCAATATTTGAATGTGACATTTGTCTCTTCTTTTCTTTCCCCAGTTCTAGCCTACGTCAACTTCAACTTTGAGTATTTTCAGGGGATCGAAAGAAAAATTGGTAATGACCTCTTTCTTCAGGTTTGTAGTGAAAAATTTTGTCACCGAGGGTTGGCAATACAAACAGAAGGAGCTAACAGAATTTGGCGCACAAGCGATCAAATCGATATTGACTCCTTGTTTAGACGCATGTTCCTCATTCTATTCGAATTGTGTAATCTCATTCTTGGCTTTAACACGACCGAATGGGACATCTTTACTCTGTATATGAAGGGTTCTGAAATTCAATTTGGGAGGAGTTGCATTCTGAGGATAGTTTTTAGCTCATTCTGAAATCATGCCCCAAATGCACTCGTTAGTAATTGAATGTCTGCAGTCACATCTGAGACGTTAACATAGAATCCATGAATAAATCTGCGTCAAAGCTGACCTGCAGGCCGATTGTTGAAAGTTTAATGCAGCCAAATAAGACGTCAACTTGCCACACATTGCCTGGTTAAGATAGGCCTATCAACAAACTACTTACTACATTGATATTGTGTATTTTTGTGCTACTAGGGTGAAAGCGGTACTTCAATAAACAGGTAATATTCCATTTAATTAGAGAAGAATACTTACTTCCACATCATAAGTTTTGTTCTTCATGCTCGCTGCCACTGTACCTCGAAGAACGTGCAAACTTCCATCATACAAGACACTCCTCACATTCTTCGACTTGTAGGCATTGTCGCCCTTCTCAAACACTTTAATTTCGTCTTTAAAATACTCGAAAATTCGCGGTAAACTAATCACACTCGTCATACTGAAAACTGATTGATAAAAATTAATTACAACAGTCAAAAGTTGCGGCAGTCTTTGGTAGCAAATAACCGTTACAAAGTTGTGCGTCGGAGGTTATGTTCGTTTGTTGGGGCACGTTTCGACTTTCGAATTTAGCAGCTTTTCGTCATAGCTGTTCACGAACGAAAAGCACTAATTATAGTCTTTGAAGCCATTTCGATTCATTTCCTAACTTTTCATTTCCTAAAAGTTGAATTAATAGGGGAAGAAACGTACAACTGAAAAGAATAATATGCTGTTTTAGCACCTAGGATGTCAAAAATATGTCTGGTGATCCTCAGATGCTGCCTCTTTTACCCTGACAGTTAACTTTACATCCTATGAATGCAAATTCAACTGCGTGGGCAATCAAGGTATCATCTTAGGATCACCAGACATATTTTTGACATTCTATGTGCTAAAACAGCATTCCATTTTTTTCAGTACGAAAACCGATAAAAAAGGTGAAATTTGTCTCCTAAATATTACGATATTCAAGTAAAAAATTTATAATCATCGCCAGGATTCAATCTATCTG